GTCGGTGCCGCGCTCTAGTCCACTCGCGGCTGCCGCTCGGGCCCCACGCGCGCTTCCGACAGGCGGAGCGCGGCTGGGACTGTCGCGCCGGGCCAGCTGGCCGTTACCAGGACGCGTGGCGGGCCGGTGTTGGGAAGCGACCTTCGAGAGCCACGTCGGAGCGTGGAGTTTCCTGCCCTGCCGGGCGCGTCCTGGGAGTTGTGACAACTCTTCTCCCGGCCGCCCTCCACCTGGGCGCGCTTGCTCCGCGGGCCACCGCTGTGGGTCTCTGTGCCTGGCAGGCGGCTCTCGGTGGCATCCCCAGCGATACTGTAGAGAGAGGGTCACCCACCCCATCTGACTCCCCGCAACCCCCTTTCAGGTTAATAAAGTTGAGTGGGGGCTGCTTTTGACTTTTCCCCTCACTTGTCACAAAATTGCAAAGCTAGTCGGATGTAACAATTTTTGAAGGTGACCTGGGTGGATCTCTCCTAAAGCTGTTACAAACTGGATACTTTTTATCAGAAACGCGTCGGAAGTTACAGACCAGCATCTTTTGGCATTCTTACCCAGAACTGTTGCCCTCTCTAAGTACACTGAAGGACTGGCACACACATCTCCTCCCTTTCCGTTTACTTGTTATTCTCTAGGAAGACACTCTGAAGATTTTATTCTTTATAGCACTCTACCTTCAATGAATGAGAAGAAAACTACGGAAGAGTTACCTACATCACTATACAGAAGAATCCGAAAGAAGCAAGAGTGTAGCCCTTTTCCCTTCCCCTCTCTCCTGGGGAAACAAACATGGGATTCTAGTTTTGTATTATTTTTTTCTTTGAGTCTACAATTTATTTTTAATATTCTTTATCTTTTTAAACTAGAGCACATGAATTATTTTTAAACACTTCAGCCTCCTTCGCTCTTCCGACTAAGTGAAAGGCCAAACCTACATTTTAACAAATTGTCCTTTTTCTCCAAGGTGGTGTTCATAAAGAATTTAGCCGTCCTTGGATGGCCTGCTCCCTGGTGGCAAATAGGGGCTTAAAACTGTACTTCCCTAAAGGCAAAAGACTGCTGGCCTCAAAAACATACCTGCCAGCTCTGACAGCTCCTAAGTCTTCTTCCTTTCCTCTTTTGACTGTTGACTTTTTTCAGAATGAATGCTTGGAGTGATTTCCTGGCAGTAGCCATAGTGGCTACTGGGCCTTTTAAAGAATGCTTTGATGTCTTGTGTGTCAGCCTTTGAGGCCCTTTTTGAGAATTCCAGCCACAGTGCGAAGAGACATCCTTTAAAAAAAAAAAGAAAGAAAGAAAGAAAAAGAAAAAGAAATAAAAGTTGGGCAAATGAAAGGTTTATTTTTCATCATCATTTTTTTTCTTTTCTTCCAAATGAAATTGTAGCAAAGGTTAGAGGTCCAATTCAGTAATCACTTCAGTTTCTCATCTTTGAGGCAGACTAAAATTATATTTGGCGAAATTAAGATTAGGCTAATGGGTTAGGCAGGTTGACTTGGTGTAGTATGGAGCAAGTGTCTGTTTTTCTGGATCACATTTACCAGAACTCTTAAAGGGCCCCTGCTTCATACTTTTACTCTGCAGTCTCATTAATATATACTCTATCGAAACTTAATAATTATTTGTAAATATTTGGGTCATTTGAGATAAGAAAGTTTAAGCTAAGTTATGAAATAATGAGTTATGTAAACTGTGAACATTTAAATAGCTCAATTCATTATTTAGCATTTTCAGCAGCTGTAGTTCAGTACACATTGCCTACGGTAGAAGTGTCTTCCAACTATCATTTTTTAAAATGTCTTTTATGTTGGACCTTCCAGAAGTGCTGGTATGTCTTTGCTCAGTCAAGCCTGTTTAGACTCAGAAAAGCTGTATGTCTAGTTTTTAAATAACCGATGTCTACCTTTAAGTTAGCATCTAATAACGGTATTTACAAAAGTTTTTCATTATTTGCCTTTTATTTTGCCTTTTCCTCCAGTGTGAGGTAGATTGCTCATTTATTTGTTAACATCTACTTTCTTGAATATATTGACTTTGTTTCTGTAGAAATATCTTCCTGAAGCAGTCAAAGGTTCAATAAGAACTAGGAATGATGTTTCTATCAGGTATGGATTGGTTTTCCCCTGGCTCCGTGTCTTCTCGGTTTGTAGGGCTAATGAGAATTCAAAGCACGGGAGTTAACCTCAGTCCCTCCACTCCTTGCCAGAACACTTTGCAAAGTGGAAAACACAATACAGATATTGTTTCGTAGGAGACTGGGAATCCTATTGGGTTCCCTGCAATTAGTGATTTGACCCAGAAATATTTATTACCATGAGGTATAGACTGTGTGTTAGTGTGAAAGACAGCTATCTACTGTACAGTCTAATTAGGCCATCAAGTTAATAGTCTCTTATTCAGCAAATTGATTTGTTTTATTGAATATTTCCGTTGTTTTGAGGAGCAGTGGGTACCATATTCACTGTATGAGACAAGAAGAAGTACAAATATAGTTTGCACTGAAGCCAAATTTCTGGTGCGATTGAGCTGTGCATCTGCTATATTAGCCATGTGTAGCTATGGAACACTTGGAGTGTACTTAATGTGAATGAGAACTGAACTTTTGATTTAAAGCATAATTATACTAAGTGAGTACTATGTTGTGTAGTGTGGTCTTAGTGGAGACCTAAGACCTAACCTACATGAACAGTAAGTTAACTCTGCACTATAGTTCTTAGTGAAGATGTGTTTTGGAAGAGAAAAGAGACTGGGTGTGTCCTAGGGGAGGCAGCTTTTAATGGGAACATCAAAGTCTGGGTCGGATTTACTGTATCAGAAGAAACTGGGAGTGATACATTGATCAAAAGCCACAAGATGTGATTGAAAAGATTTCACAGGAATGGGTTATAGAAGTCCTTGACTGTCTGGCATAAGTGTTGCGTTCATGTGTACAGCAAAAGAACACTCCCATTTGACAGGCAAAATGCTAGTCTGGGGATAACTGAACTGGGAGCTGAGCATATAGATTAGTGCACGGTTGAGAAGATTCCTTAATGGAATTTCAGACCAATCAACACACACTTATGAAAGAAGACAGAAAGGGTAGGAGTGACATTATGAACAGTGATACCCAGGAGACTTTATTTGGATTACAAAGTCAAGATAGTTTTCTCAGATAGAGACACAAGGAAGGATGTAGGGAGGCCCCACAGAAAACTGTTAGGTCAGGGAGTAATATTGAAACACAGTTTAAAGTTGCCTACAGGTGGAAGAATATGAAACCACAGATAATAATGGTTTTATACATGTGTTTTACACATTTAAATGATAGTGTAGTTTTTTTTTTAATTTTTGTTTAGAATTTGAGACCTGGATTTGGACCTTGTCATTTGCTAATTTGATATACGTAGATAAGACTCTCTTATCTATAAAATGAGGCAAAGATTTCTTTTTACTGTAAATTATTGCATAAACACAGAATGTGGCATGCAATAAACAATAAATGTCAGTTCCTGTTTCCTAAATAATGTCAGTAATAGTTTCAGTAGTACAAAAAGTAATCTTTAAAATTAGTGAGGAAGCCTATTAGATCTCTGAAATGTCTTCAATATCAGTCAAGTTTTAATTATTAATATACAAGTGTCAGTTTCTGTGGGTATTTTTCTTTTTGATGATTTTAGAAAGAATTTTATCATATAAAGATGTGTATGAGATTTTCTGAATCTGGGCCATTTTTCGTCCAGTTGTGGCACTGTACAGAGCTCACGGTTAGTACTGGGGAAAGTAAGCTGTAGATGGCAGTTGTTTCTGCAGCCTACGGACAAGAGAAGCTGCTGCGAATTGACATCCATGTAATAAGAACTCTGGACTCCATTGGCTCTCCACTGTAAAGTGAGACCCCAAACACCTGCAGTATCCAGTGTGTGACCTGCAGAGAAGGTGCTGACCCGTCCCATGCTGTCTGTGGAGTGGTCCATCAAGGCTCCTACATTGAGCCTTGTTGTACCTGTTTGAGAAGATTAAAACTTTTGCTGCTCCTGACCTCAGTTTCTTCGACAACCCCTTAATTTGATCATGCAAATGAAGTTTCTAGAAACTTAGAATTATGGGGAAAAGGAGTTTTGTGGTAGTGAAAGACTCAGGAGCCCCTCATAAAGGCTTTTTCAGGAGAAATAATTGGAAATTATCTGACGTTTATGGTCATTTGTAAGCATTTAAAATATCAATTATGTAGAAAATCTTAAATGTTAACATCTAAGTTTTGTCACAAGTCTATGTATGATATGATTTCCCTTTTTTAAAAATACTTGAGAAGGGCAAAAAGACATATACTCAAACATTATTAGCAGGTTCAGGCTTTTAGTTTTATTTTTCCTGAGTTTTCTACATTTTGGGTATGAAATTGTAATTTAAGATGGAGACCCAGATTCTTAAGATAGCTGCTAGTAATGCCGACTTCCGGTAATCCCCTGAAGCTCAGTGGACCTCATCTGATAAAAAGGAGAGATACAAGAAGAATGAGCTTCCTCCTCTCATTTAAAAAAGATTTAGAATTCTAAATTGACTGAAAAAATTAGACAGTAATCTAAAGGAATAGATACAGAAACCTAAATTTAAACATTCTGTTGTTCTGAAGCTTATGAACCACATATCTCTAAAGAAAATGTTGTAATTTTTTAGAAGTAACAAAATACTGTATCTTAGGGTCAAATAACTTGACAAAGGATTAAATTTTTCTCCTCAGCCCTCTATTACCCGCTAACCAAGAGGCCTGACATAGACGACCTCAGGCTGTTAAATGAATTGATAGCCTTTATCTATGCCTAGCACTTTGGTTTTCATAACAAGCAGGAAGATATTACATGTCTATATTCAGATGAGCGGTCCAGAGGTAAATGACCTAACACATCACACTGGCCATTGGTGGTCAGGGGCTGTTATCAAGGGCTTTTGTCTCTACAGTACTGCGTCTTTTCATTCTTTTTTTCCTTCAAAGGTTTACATCCTTATGACTCTTTCATTCTCTTTACATGGAAATAGGTGTCAAGTTTCACTGTATACAGTTTGAAAGCTAAGTATACTCTGGCCCATTTTCTTTACTAGAGATGAAATAGAGTCTACCCGTTTTCTTATGAGGAGAGTGAGGTCTGCCGAGGCTAAAGTTGCATGTTAGATGACCTGTGCTGTTCTCAGTATAGTGTATTACAAAGAGCAGAGGTGACATTCTCCTGGAATGACCTTTGAAAGCTGTGTAAATGTCACTGAGGAGCAAGGATGACCATTCAAGTCCCCAAGCCCCTTTAGTGTTTGAAAGTTTCTTGGAAGGGTGGCCTGCCACAGTAGTGTGTGTGGGTTTTTTTTTTAATTTTACAGATGACTTTGTTCTATAATTTAGGCACTAAATTAGTACTTGAACATTTTATATCTAGTACAACTATAGTGAGCAAAACTTGTTTTTAACATTGTGAGTTTAAAAAACCTCCCAAACTGTATATCCAGAAGCTGGGAATCTTTTATTCTTGCTAATGTAACATTTATGTTTTTAGCTCCTAGAATTCCTTGAAGTGTTACAAGTAGTTATTAGATCTCAGAGAACACAATCTCTTGAGTAAATTGAGGGGTTGGTTTTTTCATTTGGTTTTGCTAGTTTTAGGTTATTCTGTTTTGTTTGTTTGTTTGTTTGAGACAGGATCTCACTGTGTAGCCCTGGCTGGCCTGGAATGTACTATGTAGACCAGGCTGGCCTTGAATTCACAGAGATCCTCCTGCCTCTGCCTCTCAAGTGCTGGGATTGAATGAGTTATTTTTCTGTTCTTAGGTTATTTCCTAAAGTGTTCAACTTCATATAGCAAAAATATAAGCACCAGGAACCACCAGAGGTTCATGTATTAGCCCAGTGATTGGGTGTGGCTAGTTGTATTTACAGTGCTCCAGGTGGGTTTGGGTTCTGAGGATTAAGGACAGATGCAAAGGCGTGCTTTGAAAACTTGAGTATTGACTTGAGGTGCTCTCTCAGGATTTTCCCCACAGAGCTTCCTTTTCACTACAGGAAGAACCAAGTGGTACCTTTTATTGTAGATGTGGACATCCCACAGAGAAACTCTTAGAAGTCTTTGGTACTTGGTTTATTCATTTTTACGTTATCAGAAACTAAAATTATGTAGTATATTCTGTGAATTGTTTTTCTATGGTGATGGCATTAGTGTGGCGCATCTGTATTAACAGAGACCTCTGAATCTACCTGAGCATTGTGTTTGTAGACCCGAGTCTTCTGGAGCTGTGATTACTTTGCAAGGAATTTGAGTCCCTTGTTTATTGACAGATCCATGAGTCACTAACAAAGTCGTCAGTAGAGACCGGGCTGCCTCTGAACTGTCCAGTGGAGAGGCTCTTCTGGGTGGGTCTGTTTTAGATGTATGTTTCTAATTTGTGTTGACTGGGCCGCCTCTGAGCTGTTCAGTGGAGAGGCTCATCTGGGTGGGTCTGTTTTAGATGTATGTTTTTAACAGAAGAGGACTTTCTTACAATCTGCAATTAAACAGGCTTGTCCCATTTTTATATCTATTAGACCTCTGTCTTCTTGCCAAAAGAATTCTAAGGACTTAAAAGGCACTGTCACAAATAAATTCTGAAGATCAACTTTTTGTTTATTTTTTCAATTTACATTGGCAGGGAAAGGGGGACAGCATCCATCTCATGTAGCTCCCACTTGATATATAGCCCAGTATGATTTTGAACTTCCAGTTATGTTACTTTTATACCGCCCCCCCCCCACTTCTCCCCAGACAGGGTTTCTCTGTGTAGCTCTGGCTATCCTGGAACTCATAGGCCAGGCTGGCCTCAAACTCAGAGATCTAACCATCTGCTTCTGCTTCCCATGCCATCCCTGCTTCTGCCTTTCAAGTATGAAGATTGCAGGTGTGTGCCTTTGGGGCAGATTGAGGTGGCGCTTGGGGTCAAATCCAGGGCTTTGAGAATGTTGTGCAAGCACTCTACTGATGTAGGAGGTCCTTCTGTTTATGTGTTGCTTTCATTGGTTAATCAATAAAGAAACTGCTTGGCCTGATAGGGCAGAACTTAGGTAGGCAGAGAAGACAGAACTGAATTCTGGGAGGAAGAAAGCAGGTGAGAGAACTGCCATGGAGCCTCCAGAATCAGACATGCTGAATCTTTCCCTGTAAGCCACTGCTACGTGTTAATACAGAGATTGATAGAAATGGGTTAAATCAAGATGTGAGAGTTAGCCAATAAGAGGCTAGAGATAATGGGCCAGGCAGTGATTTAATTAATACAATTTTTGTGTGGTTATTTCAGGTGTAAGCTAGCCAAGTGGTTGGGACCAAAAGCAGGGCCCCCACTCTCCTTGCAACAATCTACCTATTGAGCTGCATCTTCAGCCCTGTTCTTTTTTGTGAAGAAGTGATGTGGGACTAGAAAGATGATTCAGTGGTCACACACGTTTGCTGCTCTTTCAAAAGACAGTTCAGTTACCAACATTCATGTCATATCCAATGACTCACAACTACCTGTACTCCAGCTCTAGGGGATCTGGTATCTTCTATTTCCTGGGGTACCACTACATGCAATCTTTTTTACAAAATGAATAGGCAAATTTTAAAGATAACTTCTAAAAAAAAATTCTCTCTCTCAGTGTGTGTGTGTGTGTGCGCGCGCACGTGTGTGTGTGTTTGTGTGTGTGTGGTCCTCACATGTGTTTTTGGATATGGGAACCTAGAAGCCAGATAAGTACATTTGTTATTCAGATCTGTCATTTTTCAGCTTATTCTTATGAAAAAAGGTCTCTCACTGAACCTAGCACTTTATTTTTGACTAGTATGACTGGCTGGAATATCTGGTAATTCTCTGGGGGTCTGGGGGTCTTTGCCCCCAACAGCACTGGGATTTCAGTCAAGTGTGCCACAGCTGGCTTTGTACATGGACGCCGGGGATACTAACTCATCCTCAAGCCTCTAATTCAGGCATTCTACTTGCAGAGGCTTCTTTCCAGCCCTCTAGTATTGTTAGAGCCAAGATCAGAAGGTGTTTATTAATCAAGTCTCCGTTTTTAGTGCAGATTTTCAAGTTAAGGTGGATTGACTGACTACATTCTGAAATATATTTTGCATTTTGATATTTTTATCATAAGGATGATTTTTTTAATTGACAATGTATAGAGGGAAAGTAAGCCAAAAATTTCATAGACAAACTTACATGTATTAATGATTTGTTTCTGTTCCACATTTATTATTATAGCAGGCAAATATAAACACATTGATTTGCATTTTTAAAACAAAATAATTCTATAAAAATAAAATTCTTCCTCATTTATTACCTTTGTTTCTCAAGAAAAATTCTTGATGTCTTTCCAAAGAAAATTTAATGTATCTAATACATATTTTAAAGAAATTATATAAAAGGCGTTTTCATTATGTGCATTTTGCTTCGTCCCCATATTCTTGGCAGGTAGATCAGTATGTGCAGACCTGCATCATTACTTAGCAGTTACCATGCTGCTGAGCTGTGCTTTCTGTGCCTGCATCATGCCCTTAAACGATTGAATGTTTCCTGTCTAGCTGCAGTGTTGTGCTTAGGGTAGGGTAACTGCAGGGTCGGGTAGCAGTATGTGCTTTACAATGCTGAAAGGTGTTTTCAGATTACCATCTAAATATAAGCTGAACTTTGACTCCTGCCCGTAAGGAGTCTTGCAGTGTACTCTTTTCTCTGTACTTCTGCTGTTATCAACAAATTACATTTTAAAAAATTATTTTTTGTTGCTACAATTCCAGTATATGAGCTTAGTGTTCTGCCTCCCCCCCCAAACCCAAGACAGGGTTTCTCTGTATAGTCCTGGCTGTCTTGGAACTTGCTTTGTAGACCAGGCCGGCCTTGAACTCCCAGAGATACACCTGTCTCTGCCTCTGCTCCCTAGTGCTGGGATTAGAGGCATGTGCTCTACCACACCCACCTAAAATTAAACTTTTAATTTTTTGTTATTTTTGTTTTTGTTGTTGTTTTGAGACAGGGTATTTCTGTGTAATAGCTCTGACTGCCCTGGATCTTGCTCTGTAGATCAGGCTGGCCTTGAACTCACAGAGATCCACCTGCCTGTGCCTCGGGAGTGCTGGAATTAAAGGTGTGTGCCACCACCATCCTTATATTCTTAAAAAGAAATGTATGGGGTTTTTAAAATACTTTGAGAAATTACAAAAAATATAAAAGTCAGTATTATCTTCAGTTTCTTTTTATATTTTACATATTTAGAGATGAAATTGGCCTGATTCCATGTCCTGAAGCAAGATATAACCGGAGTCCCATAGTCCTGGTTGAGAACAAACTTGGTGTGGAGAGCTGGTGTGTCAAGTTCTTGTTACCATATGTCCACAACAAACTCCTTTTGTACAGAACAAGAAAGCAGTGGCTGAACAAAGATGGTGAGTATGAGCCTGTCTTCCTCCTCTGGGAGGAGCCCTGGCTGGGGTTTGCCATTCCTGGACTCTGATTATCGCTCTCCTCTGCACTGCCTGAGTAGGTGCTCAGCCTCTGTCAAATGAGAAGCTTAGCCTTGATTATCAGTGTTTCTGTTTGTAACCACAGTGATTAAAATGGATGTGTCTCAGGCAGGATTCAAGCCACCTGCTGCCGCCACAGCAGATTTATGTGTTCATATCCTGAGGTCATTTGTAAGATTTTATTTAAGGATGGCATCCTATAATTAAAATTTTAGAAAGTTTGAGCATCACCAAAGAGTTTTCTAGTTCCTATAACTACTTGGTTTCTGACCCCTTATGTTAGCATTTTGTGGACAGCAGAACGTTTTTCTGTGGCAGTTCACAGGAGGCAGGCTGCTCCTGGTGGCTGAGTGTAAGCCCACCTGTGGCTCTCTGCTGCCTCACTGAGTCCCAGTTGTGATCAGCCCTTCTGGATCTTAGTGCCAAAATGAGAAAGTGAGAACTCGGAAAGGAAGGAAAGCCTTGGCCTTTGCTTCTCCCGTTGCCCTGTGGCAACTCTTTAGAGTACCGGTAGTCCCTAACAGCCGTCCCACGGGGCTCTTTAGCCAGCGTTTCCTCAAGTCCCAGCTCTGGCTGCATGAATTCTCCTTAGCCTTTCAGACTCACCTCAGCGCTCATTTCTGGGCAGTGCTCACCTAAGACCATGTTCTCTTCTGCTTTTGTAAAGCCCTTTCCTCCCCTCGTACAGCAACATCCGCAGAAGGGTCAGTGCGCCTGCCTGGAGGGGTTTTCAGCAAGACCTTACTTTCTAGACCATTTTATTCAGCAGCTCAGTAGTCATTCCCAAGGAGCTGCTCTTACCAGACACTGCTCTGAGGACCATGGGCAGAAAAGGTGAATAGCACATTTTCTTTAGCTAATGAATTTCAAGTTGAGTGCCAGCAAGCCTCTTTAGGAGACGTGTGTCACCAGCTGTATCACGTCGGTTTCCCTGAGTTTTTCTCAGTATTGTCCTTAAAAGACTGTCCAAATAAGTCAATAGTACCTTTTCCTATGTGGACCATGTCGTAGTCTGAGCTTTAGAGAAGTGTTTTCTGTTTTCCCTATGACTTGTTTCATTTGATTGGTCCTCTGATATGTGTTTCTAATTCACAAGTGCTGTCTAAACTTGGTATGATATTAATGGCATGACCTGAGTCTAGGACACACGCTTCAAACAAATGTAAGGGAATTTGCTTTTGTTAGACCTCCTTTTTTGTTCTGTCACCGTGGCATAGGCTTCAGAGAGACATAGGACTCCAGCAAGTTATGTTTTGCCAGATGAAGCTATATTGTTTTTATCCTGGCGTACAGAAGTGTGACTCGGCCATTGCACACTGGTGGGGCAGAACAACTGTCTCAGAGAGAAGAAACAGTAGGAATTTAAAGATCAAGTCTAAGTTGTCTCATAGCATTGGACTTTTCCCATTTGTCTACCTGTGCTCAACCAACCTTTGTCTTGTGGCCTTCGAGTCTTCTGTGCATTTCAGGTTCTTGTGGGCACCGTTCTGCAGACTATGCCATCTCATTGAGTCTTCTGTGCATTTCAGGTTCTTGTGGGCACTGTACTGCAGACTATGCCATCTCATTGAGTCTTCTGTGCATTTCAGGTTCTTGTGGGCACCGTACTGTAGACTATGCCATCTGATCGAGTCTTCTGTGCATTTCTGGTTCTTGTGGGCATCCTACTGCAGACTATGCCATCTTATTCACATGACTTCCATCTTTATAGCCCCATAGGACATAATAATCTAAGGCTTAGGTAGGAAAAAGAGCATAGTTCAGTACAGCATCACAGACCACTCAGGTCATATGTTGTATTGTCAGTAAAAGAAGTAAATTGTGCTCTGATGCCTGAAAATGCCAATGTAAAAATATTGTGCCAAATTTATGAACTAAAACATTTAGGATGCAGCTGAATCTTTCTAAGGAAAAGTAAATTCAAACTTTTTAGGAAAATGTCATTTTTTTGAAACTTTTTTTTTCTAGAAACAACTATGTGTATACAAAGAGCCAAAGGTAGAAAGCTGATAATTTAGAGAAGTGTTTCAGTGTCTAATTGATTTGGCCAGAACCCTGCAATAGAATCATAACTCATCTTCAAAGAAAGTCAAAGCAGGAACCTGGAGGCAGAAGCTGAAACAGAGGCCATAGAGGAATACTGCTCACTGGCTTGCTCTCCATGGCTTGCTCATCCTACTTGCTTTTTCTTTTTCTTTCTTTCTTTGTTTCTTTCCTTCCTTTTTAAAGGAAGTGTCTTCCTTCCTTTCTTTCTTCCTTCCTTCTTTCCTTCCTTCCTTCCTTCCTCCTTCCTTCCTTCCTTCATTTTATTCTCTCATATATTAACATCCCAACCAGTTTCCCCCCCTCTTCTCCCCCAGTCCCTTCCTCCCAGCTCCCCTGTCCCCCAGATCAACTCCTCCTCCTCTGTTTCCATTCAAAAAGGTCAGGCCTCCCAGGGATAGCAACCAAACCTGGCATATCATGTTGCAATAAGACTAGGCATATTCCCTCATATTAATAGCGTACATTCTTATATACCCTGGGACCACCTGCCTAGAGATGGCACTGCCCACAGTGAACAGGTTCCTCCTATGTTAATTACTTTTTAGCAAAGTTCACTACAGATTTTCCCACAGGCAACTCTTAGGGAATCGTTTTCCCCAACTGAGATTCCCTCCTCCCAAATGACTCTAGCTTGTGTCAAAAGGACATAAAATTACCCAGCAAAACAGCATTAAAAGCCCTGAATGGGCAGAGCTCTATCCAAAGCATTATATGTACTTAAGTGTAGCCTTCTGCATTTTTTTTTCTTTCTTGTTTCTTCTTCTGGCTAGACTTCTATTTCTCAGCTGGGCAAATGCTGGTTGATCCCATTGCAGGCTCTCTGTAATTCATGTCCTTCATGCCACTAACCTATCACTTCAAACAGCACCTTCCAACATCCCATTTTTTTCCTCTCAAAAGTTTTCTTTAAATTTAAAATACAATTACATCACTTGTGTCTTCCTTTCCTCCCTCCACCCCTCCTATATTATCTCCTTCTAATTGCACTGCGCCCCCTGCTCAAATTTGATGGTCTCTTTTTATTATTACATATACATGCATATACATATATAAAAGCCTTTTGAGAAGCACTTTTCTGAAATATATCTATCTGCTCATATCTTATTTCATGATTCTCTCAGAGCCAATGCAATATTGAAATTCTTTAGGTGGTATTCAAGGCCTTTAACCATCCATTCCATTCTAAAGCCTAATTGCCAGTGTTGCAGCCACTCCATTTTTGGCATCAGATTGCAGGTTCTTGGCCCCTAGACTGTTATTAATCTACAGATCCATTTCATTTGGCTTATATATTTCAAAACCTTGCCCTTAATTAGTTGTATAAGTATTTAAAAGCAGGATGGAGTTTTGAATTTCTGTCCTTATTTGAAAAATCAATTGGCCTCAGTCTTAAGTTTCTACATAGCAATTGGGCAGGACTGCTGGCTACTGTAACCTCTTCATGTTCGAGAATAGTGTCGCCTGCAAGTGATCACTGTTTTGCTGCATTTGTGACACTCATTTGACTCTTACAACCTTTGTATTTGTAGTAATTAATCTTTATTCCAGCCACAATCTATACCATTCTGTTCTCAGACTTCATTGCCTGGTACTTCTTTATTTTGCCTTTGTGTTGTGGTCATCAGTCTGGTTGCCAGCATTAGCAAACTGAATTCACAATCATCCCCCAGGAGGCCTTTCTGTGTATTTCAGAAAGCAGCAGGTCTCTGCATTCTGTGGGAGTCCTTTGTTTGGGTGACTTTCATAGTGCTCACTCACCATAGTATACTGTAGTTTGTTATTTAAACATTTTTTCTCCTGCTAGATTGTGGGTCACTGAGAGCAGGGATTATGGCTCTTACTCAGTTCTTTCAAGTGCCAAAGTGTCCCTTGTCGGATTAGCAAGAATTCTTAGCTTAGTCCACCATTCAGGGTCTGTGTGCTCTCTAAATAGCTTTAACTTAAGCTGTTCCTTATATGCTATTGAGTATATTTTGGAAGGAAAGTAGTTTATTATCTTGAATTTATTTAATTTTAGATGCACAGAAACCATTGTCTGTCAGAAGAGTTGTAAAACCTGGATTATTGTTAGAATAGAGTCCAGCTAAGAAAGTGTATCAGCTGAACCCCTGACTTTGGTAGAGTTTGTATGTGCTTTTCTTGTTCCAGTTGGAATTTAGCTACTTCCCTGTGTATGATGTACCCAGATTAATTGTCTGCCTGTGAGATGGTGATAGATTAGTCATACATTGGAATGTGTATAGTAAGCATGTATTTACTGACATATGTTTTGTATCTCAAGAGAGATCGCATTGATCCCAAGAGTCTGCAGGACATTCGGTAGGTCATGGCTTCTGGGGAAGGCCATAGAGGAAATGGTCTGTAGTCGGTGACATTTAGAGAGTGAAATTCTTACAGTCAACTGTTACTGACGCATGTTTATCTTTATAGCTTGGTTCATCCTTCCTGTATAGGACAAACAAAGCCTTTGCCAAAAGTGTGCTAGCATCTGCTTTGCTGGGAGACAGACCTGAAAAGCCAGAGCATCAGCAGTCTGAGGTTAAATTACTTAATCTCTTTCTTCCTTTCTTCTTCCTGAAACGGAGTGCTGACTGAAACCTCAAAATTTTCTTGCAAATCTGATTCTTACATTTGTAGCCCAGTTACTTTGTCTTGGTTGGCCCATTCCTGCTTCTTACATTATACCACCCCCTCCTCACTTCTTGGCCTAGAGCTTGACTTCTGAATCAGGAAAGATGAGCAGGTTGTGAAGAGGAGAAAACCCGGTTTAATGACAGCTGTCCAGGATGCTGGTGTCTTAAATCCCAAGATTCTTACATGTCCCTCTGCACAGTGGTCACTGCTCTGCCTAGATTCCTGCACTTCCTCCTGGGTGT